TTTTGACAAAACATTTCATTTTACAAAAATTAACAATTTATTTTAATTCTTATTTCATTTCAAATAGTTGTCAAGGCAACATTTCTCATTTTTATTTAGTTTAACTTGATACTAAATCAACTAAAACTGAAATAAATAATAAAAAACTATATAGACATTAAAAAAACAAGATATAAAACTATACAAATTAGAAAAGCATAAAACTAAAATCATAATGAAAATTGCCAATATAAAATATGAATAAAAACTTTTATAATATCTTAGGGTGTATCCACACCTGTCTTGTTTGGTTCGATTGAATCAAACTCAAGTTCGTTCTTTGGTGCGGATCACACGGGCAGGAGTGAATACAGCAATCGCACTCGGGTGCACACCAAACAACCGTACCGAGACCCAGCTGAAGAGGTGGTCTCAGTCCACTTCCAAACGAACTCTGGTATGGTTGAATGGATGAACCAATGAATGGATGACCTTAAGCACACGTGTGGTTTTGTTTACAGTTTCTGGTTCACTTGCAAAAAGGGCAGTGTGAAAGCGAACCGCACCAAACAAAAAAAATCTAAATTGTATTTGGTCCAGACAAAAGCAAGCGAACTAGCGGACTTTCCTGGTGTGAATACACCCTTAATGATACTAAAATAACACTGCAGCCTTGATGAGCATAACAGACTTCTTTCAAAAACACCAACATATCTTACCAACCCAAAACTTTATAGTAGTTTACATATTAGATAACAAGGTCTCTTTTGATTTGGAGTAAGCAAGTATCTAGCAATGCCCTAGCAACCACACAGAACAGCCTAGCAACTGCATAGCAAGAGGTTAAGAACCATCCACATCAACCTAAACTTCTGACATCAAGTTTATACATTGAAAAATCATAGCATAGTAGAGAGAATACATGAAGTGATGTGGACAATGAGGGAGAGGTCAAATCAGGAACGGTTGCAAGCAAGATTCAAACTTCCCTCACCCACAAGACTCGATGTATTGTCATGTAAACTAACTTCTGATGCTTGTTTTGCTTAGCTGCATTGCTCACATACTATGTATATATATACTACAAATATTACTCTTGCATTTTAAGGTAAATGTATGTCTTTGTAGTATCTTAAGTGTGTGTGTGTGTGTGTGTGTGTGTGTGTGTGTGTGTGCTGCACTCTTGCCTTCATTTTTAAAATGTTCAAATAGAAAATTGTAATAATATTCCACAATATTGCTGTTTTTATTTTTTAATCAAATAAATGCAGTGTTGGTGAGCAGAAGAGACTTTTAAAATGTAAAAGTCTAAAACCTTAAAAAAAAAAAAAAAATGTCAAAACTCTTACAAAGCTCAAACTTTTGAAAAGTACTTTATATCGGCTAATTTGATTATGCTTCTAGCTACTAATAAGAGTGCAGTGCTTCCAGCTCTGTTTAACATCTTTTACTAAATTTAAATATATTCCTCAGAATTCCACACAGTTTCCATCCGAACTAGCACACATGATGCAAAGAAAGAAAGTGTACAGATTCGAAAATGATAGCATGCAGTAGTCGAAATTATGTTGCTCTTTTAAAGCTGAAGATATTTAATAGGGTTTTGAGATATGTTTAATGAAAGTAATAACTTTGTTTCACATGTTTCTCATACAATTTCTGAGAGGAAATAAAAACAGAAACAAATGAGACTTACTTCACATACAGTAAGACCATAGATCTATGCTGTTAATATAGAAGGCAGTGTGAATCATGTTAGAAAATCTGAGCACAGTTTGAGATATTTTTGAGGGGAAAAAAATAGTCTTTTCCTCAGGAGAAACATCTGAGAAGCAGGAGCCATCCATATGCTCCATATATTCTCATTGCTGTCTAGGAAAAACAGCTGAGACCTAATGTGTGCTTTTTTATTTCCAATGAGTTTTTCCTGTTTTATTTAAAAATGTGTTTTTCTGCCTTTCACAGATGACATCATTGAAAAGCAGGTGCAGGAGGGTCTTATAGCTCCAGAGATCCGTGAGAAGATCAGTTTTGTCCTCTTGCGGAAACACCGACACCAGACCAAGAAGCCGATCCACCGTTCATTGGCGGACATTGGAAAATCCAGCCCCTCGAGTGAGTGTCCGCTATCTTACCTGTCCCACAGTCAGTGGTATTCCCAGAATTCCCTGTCTTTTCTCTGACACTTGTCTTTTCAAATAATTTCTTATGAACTTCTTTTTCTTAAGTTTCCACTTTGCTCTTTTGCCTGTCCTGCCATCTTGATCATGTCGTTCTCTGTGTCTGATCTCGGGTCTGCATCAGACCGCAGTCCGAGCCCGAGTCCTCGCTCTGGGTCGGGTTTCCATCGCTCCACTGAGGACCTGCGAGCTCGTCAGAGCGGCGGCCTCAGCAAACTGCGTGAGTCTGGCCTTCTGTGTCTTCCCCCTTCCATAGATTTATCTACAACTACTTCCGGATCTCTGGAATTTCTAATAAGCCTCTCAGGTTTTGTCGCTTTAAATCACCAACTCTCATTAAAAATGCTAATTGCTATCAGTGTGAACACCCTTTAACCTCACATAGCATCATCCACACACTAACTGCTTGTAGTTGCACAAGAAGGTGAACAACATTTCTGCAAGTATGCAGCAGTGCGTTCCTGCCATTGTTCTGAGGATTAGAGATTATTAGAAAGGTCTTGACTTTGGTTTTCCATTCTTGTTTGTTATGATTTGTTTCTGTACTCTGGGTACTTTAGGCCAGAAAAACAACATTGTTTTTTCTTGTCTCTAAAGAAAAGTTACTAAAACGAATGTGTCTTTCTTTCTTTTTTTAAGTATACTAATGCAATATGTTTTTTTGCAGTACCTTTTAAAAAACATGATTGCATAAAATATGGACTTTCCAAAACTTCTCAAGCAAATGTGACATTTAGAAGTTTAAGATGTGTGGCACATGAATTTTGTAATCATAAAATCACATGGTATATATCAAATTAACACGGCATTACCATCTGAATCTGATGCATAATGATATATTTGGCTTTGCCTTTGACAGTGAAATCACATCAACACAGAAATTACATCAATAATCTATTTAATTTCGTGTTATTTTAGTATTATTTATATTATATTTTATTTTTATATTTTCCATTTTTATTTCAATTTTAGTTTTAGTAATTGAGTATATTTCTATTTAGATTTAATTTATTTTCATTTCCATTTTCGTTTTAGTAATTGTAGTACTTCTGATTTAAGTTATTTTACGTTATTTAGTTTTAAGTATTTTTTTTACCATCTACTTTATATTTTGTTGTTTTTCGCCTTTATTTCTATTGATTTACTAGTGTTAGTTTTAGTTAACAATAACAAAACTGATTAAATTGATAATCAAAGTGTTTCATCTGTGCTTTTCAGATCCTTCTCAGTGCCGCAGTATGAATGATATTTGCGTCACACCCAGCACCGACCAGGTACGGCATTTTATCATTAGTATTCCAGGACCATTGCTGTTTTTTCACGTGAACATATTGAAATACACTGAAAATGTATTTATTGATTAGCAAAGAGTAAACAGGATGATTTTAGAAACAAAAGCACTGCATCAGGGGTCTTGTTTATGTGCGTTATGTGGCAAATTTATGCAGGGTAATATTCCATATAAGTCACTCAAATGCCGCCAGCAGTTGTTTGACTTTTTGTAATGTTTTCTTCATTTTAATGTGGTGCAATAATGAAAAGCAAAATATGAAATACACAGTAAAGCACTTAGTTTTGCCAAAGTATTTTGAGGCCATTGCAGGGCTTTAGTGTTTGTGCAAGAAGGGTTGCTGGTGCCGCTGCTCTCGGCTTGCTAGACTTCAAAGTGAGCCAATTCTGAGTCCACTTTAATGAGTTTTTTTCTGCTTAAAATGACACCCATGACTCACTTTCATGTGTTCACTGCCCTCGACAGGCTTCATTTATGCCTTACAGGAGCATGTGTCAAAGTGGCAATATCAAGTGGCATTTGTTTTCAAAAAAAGACAGCACAAGCACATTTTTCATGCTAATCAGTTTGAGTTATGTTAGCTATGAGGAATTGACTCCATGCATCCACTAAAAATCAGGTGCTCCAGGTAGTTAAGTTATTGCAAGAATGTGAAATTAGTTCTGAGAAAAGCTGAGAAAAAGAGAGAATGGTTGCTGGTGCCGCTGCTCTCGGCTTGCTAGACTTCAAAGTGAGTCCACTTTAATGATTTTTTTTCTGCTTAAAATGACACCCATGACTCACTTTCATGTGTTCACTGCCCTCGACAGGCTTCATTTATGCCTTACAGGAGCATGTGTCAAAGTGGCAATATCAAGTGGCATTTGTTTTCAAAAAAAGACAGCACAAGCACATTTTTCATGCTAATCAGTTTGAGTTATGTTAGCTATGAGGAATTGACTCCATGCATCCACTAAAAATCAGGTGCTCCAGGTAGTTAAGTTATTGCAAGAATGTGAAATTAGTTCTGAGAAAAGCTGAGAAAAAGAGAGAATTTCCACTTTTAAGTGAGACTTAAGTGTCCAAATGTCAGTTTTGATGTACATATATATACACCGTAACAGCAGCAAATGATCTGACAAGAGGAAAAACAGGGTCGGGACATGAGAAAAGAGCTTGTTTATTCATTGCAGAAAGTGAATTGACTCTGAAAGTGGCATTAAACGATTAAAAGCTGATTTTGACCATAAGCACAGACCATTCCATATGCACGTGTTCTTTGAGGCCACCGTTGCCAAGCGGCTGTTTTCATTGGATCACGTGGGTGCGTTTGCATGCTCTGTCTTCCTGCTGTGATTGCATAGCTTTATTGATCTGCCATTGGAAAAAATGAGGCGCTTCCCATTTCCATCACATGCAGGCACATCAGACGTTGAATATGGAGCTCATATTGATACATTGTAAATTCCAATTAGTAAACCTTACTTAAAAAAAGCATGCAAACCGATTGCCTTGAAAAAAAAGTAAAGTGAAATTGTTGAACTAGGTATATAATCAACATTAATCTTTATAAAAGTATCTCAGTAATTTACCAGCAAATACACAGGAAATGTTCCCAAAATTATGTGCTTCTTTAAGGTGTAGCTATGAGAACTTACAAAGCGGGTTAGTTGTAGAAGTATCTGGGGTGATCATGAAGTAAAACAGGTCGGCCTCAGATGGCTGTGCACTGCTGTCAAATCTGGGTTCTAGAAGTAAAAAGAGAAAAACAAGTTTAAGACATTCAAAAATTACAGTACAAATATGTTTGTCAAAGTGTCAATAAAGAAGTCAATGACATGGTTTATTTTAAATATTATTATTAAATATAATAAAAAATATTGAAAACATTTAAGGTAGCAACATACATTTTTAGGGGTTGTAGGGTGTGAAGTGTTTTCTTAGATCTGTGAAAAAAATAAAAGAAATACAGTGGTTACATGTATAATTCATCCACAATAAATTATTTGAAATATAATTTAATATTGCAAATAAAGTGTAGCACATGATTGAGTCAAAAACTGCTCTACTGCTGTATAAGAGATTCAAAATGAAATACCTTACCTTCAGTGTACTGAGGCGGAAACAGTACGGTGTTCACGAGACTGCTGGTCAGAGAAGACAGCTGCCACAAGCACTTGTCCTAAATATGACAAATAATTCTTCCGTTAAAGGCAAGTTCCACTATTGTTGTGAATTACTAATTATATCTAAGTAAGGTAAACTATTGGATTTTACAGTGTACTGGTATCATGAATGAGGCTGTTGTGTGAACTCTTTCCAACATGGAAATTTCATGACCTACGCATCTCAGCACTTCAGACCATGTGGACTAATTAAACCCACTCATCCGTGACCCCTAACTGGATTGTTATTCCACCCACCAGCTGAAGAATAAGTTCATGAAGAAGATCCCCAGAGATGCCGAGGCGTCTAATGTGCTGATTGGAGAGGTGGATTTTCTGGACAAGCCGTTTGTGGCCTTCGTACGTCTGGCTCAAGCCGCAACGCTAGGAGGCCTTACTGAAGTCCCTGTGCCAACAAGGTGATCATCCCAAAACAGTCTGTATAAGTTTATTGGCTGTTTAAATAGCTAATAGCCTTTAGTTTCACAACACAGTCTGGCAAAACAACACTTGTACCACAGGTAAAGCAAAAAAAACAATAAATTCCAGACATTTCAGTCACAGAGACCCCCAGCAAATTATGATTGTACATTAAAAGAAAATAATAATAATGGTTACACTGTATTACAATAGTCCACTTTAGACATTGTACTAACTCTAAGTAACTATTTTTATATTTTTTATTCATTTTACAGAAAGTGAAAGAATAAATTTTAAATGTGTATTTGCTTTACGTTTTAATGAAAGACTATGTGGGTTTTCCAGGTTTCTCTTTGTGCTGCTCGGTCCCAATGGCAAAACCAAATCCTACAATGAGATCGGTCGCGCCATGGCTACACTCATGGTTGACGATGTAAGAGAAAATCTCAGCAATTCTGAACCCCGAAATTAAGTATCATCACAGTATTTTTTTAGCAAATCTGTCTGTATCTGCCACCATATTTAGCTGTTCAGCGACGTGGCCTATAAAGCCAGAGATCGTGAGGACTTGATTGCTGGGATTGATGAGTTTTTGGATGAGGTGATCGTTCTTCCTCCTGGAGAATGGGACCCCAAGATCCGCATCGAACCCCCGAAGAAACTGCCTTCAGCAGAGATGAGGTATTAAATCACGAATCTACACTACCATTCAAAAGATTGGGGTCAGTACATTTTTGAAAAGAAATTGATATTTTTAATTCATCAAGAATGCATTAAATTGATCAAACGTGACATTAAAGGCATTTATAATGTTAGAAAAGATTTAATAAATAATAACGCTGTTCTTCTGAACTTTCTATTCATCAAAGAATCCTTAAACATGTTTGATGGCTTCCACAAAAATATGAAGCAGCAGCACAACTTTTTTCAGCATAATAATCAGAAATGTTTCTTAATCAGCATATTAGAATGATCATTAAAACGTCTAAACAGCCCAAAACGTTTGAACTTTACTGTATATTGTCAACATAATAGAAATATTATGTTTATACGCTGCATTGTTAAAAATATAGAGTGAAAGATATTTTGTAATCTAAAATATGTACTTCATGTGGTAGAATCTAAATTAACTGGCTTTATTCAAGTAAAAAATATTATTTAGTATTGATTCGGTCATATTAAATATTACCTTATAAAACGGATAGTTCCGGTCCTTGATTCTGATTGGTTGAGCCGCGTCCGAAGCTGTTGTAAATTACTCTACAAACATACACCTTTGTTTACTTTGTGTGTTGCTTGGCAACCACTTTGTTGCAAAAGATTTAATAAATAATAACGCTGTTCTTCTGAACTTTCTATTCATCAAAGAATCCTTAAACATGTTTGATGGCTTCCACAAAAATATGAAGCAGCAGCACAACTTTTTTCAGCATAATAATCAGAAATGTTTCTTAATCAGCATATTAGAATGATTTCTGAAGGATCATGTGACACTGAAGACTGGAGTAATGATGCTGAAAATTCAGCTTTGCATCACTGGAATAAATAATATTTTCAAACAGTTATTATAAACTGTAATAATATTTACAAATATTAGTATTTTTCATCAAATAAATGCCTTTGTGAGGAAAAGAGACTTCTTTCAAAATCATTAAAACGTCTAAACAGCCCAAAACGTTTGAACTTTACTGTATATTGTCAACATAATAGAAATATTATGTTTATACGCTGCATTGTTAAAAATATAGAGTGAAAGATATTTTGTAATCTAAAATATGTACTTCAGTCCGCTACTGATCCGTGGCTGTTAATGCTTTTTCAGCATTGCAATTCTTTTTTTACACAGTACAGTTATGCAATCTTTCACAGACGTTTAAACACAATAAATATAAGCAACACATTATTCAATGCTTTTTACTTTTGCATTTACTTCTAGATTTATATATTAAGTTGCTCAAGCAAGTGGCAAAACATTTAAATAGAGTGAAAGATATTTTGTAATCTAAAATATGTACTTCATGTGGTAGAATCTAAATTAACTGGCTTTAATCAAGTAAAAAATATTATTTAGTATTGATTCGGTCATATTAAATATTACCTTATAAAACGGATAGTTCCGGTCCTTGATTCTGATTGGTTGAGCCTATTATTTATTACAAGCAATCCTGCGCTTCATAAAGAACTTTGTTTTCCTGCCTCCATGAGTGCCATCTATTATTGCCTTCTTTATCTAAAAGTGCTCTTTCGCTTTAAACCTAGCCAAAAAGCCATATGTGTTGACTGTGAAACACTTTATCGGTAGCCGATCAATCGGAGCACCCCTAATCATTGCACTTTATTTGCTCTGTTTTATTTTGTGAAACCTAACTACGTGTTTGAAATAACTGTTTTATAAAAGCAATAAGCCCCATGAAGCCATGGTTTACAGTGAATTTATAACAGCTAAGGGGGGTTTAAGCTATCGTATGGCTTCAGAAGTAACACAGAATAATACGCACAATCTCGGATTTGGATCGGCCCTCTCTGACCGATACCCGATCCAACAAAAATGGCTTTATTCTCCGCTTCGCGTCGTGCCTAACAAGCTGTTATAAATTCACTGTAAACCACGGCTTCTTGGGGCTTATTGCTTTATTTTAAATTATGTAGCACATAGCACAAGTTACATCTGTTTTTTTTTTTTTTTTGCAGGAAGTCTGTTTTCTCTCTGAATGAGCTGGGGCAGCCGAATGGGAATGCAGGAGGAGGTGCAGCGTCTGCAGAAGGCGAGGACCTGCCGGCTACACATGAACTTGGAGAGGAGCTGAAATTCACTGGCCGGTAGCATCCACTGGACCTGCTCAACTTCTAGTTATAGAAATTACATGACGTCTGAGACTCTTTCTGTTTGTGTAGATTTTGTGGAGGACTGTGGCTGGACATCAAGCGTAAAGTGCCTGGGTTTCTCAGTGACTTCTATGAGGGCTTCCACATCCAGTCCGTCTCTGCGGTGCTCTTCATTTACCTGGGCTGCATCACCAATGCAATCACCTTTGGAGGACTGCTGGGGGACGCAACCGACAACTATCAAGTAATTTATAATACCAATATTTTGTTATATTCAACATGATGCTCAAAACAGCCAAATATGAAGCAGTTAACTGGCCTGGCCAATATACTATTCTATTATTGTTTTATATCATTTCAGAGTAAAAATATTAAAAATTAAGAGAATTATGAGAAATAAAGTTGCAAAATCATATTGTGATATATAAAGTCACAGTTTTTTTCTCTCTCTCTGAGACGGAAACATATGGAAGCCCAATTCTGCCACATCTAAAAAAAAAATCTTACTTTGGAAAGTCATAATAGTCGAAAATATGACATAAGACAAAATTATGAGATAAAAGGACAAAATTATGAGATCAAAACTTTGATTTTTTTATGTCAGAATTGACTTTTTGTTATACTATCAACATTTTATCATAATTATGACTTGGTATGTCATAATTTACACTTCATATCTTAAGTGTGACTTCGTATTTTGTCATTTCGACTTTAGATTATGTCATAATTTCAATATTTTATCATCATTTTGAAGTCGTAATCTTTTTATCTCAATTTTATGACTTGGTATCTTATCATTTTTAGGGATGCGCTGATCCGATATTCATATCGGGTATCGGCTCTGATACTGCCATTTTTTGTTGGATCGGGTATCAGTCAAAGAGGGCCGATCCAAATCCAAGATTGTGCGTATTATTCTGTGTTACTTCTGAAGCCATACGATAGCTTAAAGGGTTTGTGTTCCCATTATTATACTTGATTTGTAAGTAAATGTCTGTGATTTTGCAAAAAGGACTTTATCTTCTTGCCGGAGTTTAATGTTGTTTTGTTACTTGCTACCGGGTGTCTGTGAGAACAAAACACGGGCGTAGAAAAGACTATAGATTGTTTTTAACGTGCACAGTTACTGAAATTTAAAACTGTTAAAAGAAAGGCTCAATAACTGTTGCACAGATATAATACACTACGCATCAATTTCTCTTCCCTTTGTGCTTTGCACTTTTTAATGCAAAGCGCTGCATGCTATGACTCCGTGTTGCTTCAAGCGCATCATTCTGCACACCGGATGCGCATATTGTAAGTGCTTCGTGCCGCACTGTATTTGTTTTATCCTATCGAATCTATCATATGTTGTTGCCTTATTAAAAAATATGCTATACATTTAAAAGAAATGTATTTTAATGATTTTTCTAGAATAACTTTTGCTGCCGAATTATCCACTAACCTAGTTTATGATATATTTTTGTCATAGATTATGAATATACATATATTTTTTAATATCTATTGTTTATTTTTCTTTATAATGAAGTAGTCTGTATTTAGTAGATTGTGAAAGAATGATTATCAGTTCCACACACAGAGATATATAAATTCTACATTTATTTAAATGGAGAAAAAAAAAAACTTCACTGGTATCGGATCGGTATCAGTATCGACCAATACTGAACCCTAGGTATCGGAATCGGTATCGGAGGTGAAAAAGGTGGATCGGAGCATCTCTAATAATTTTGACTT